TCGCTTTCAATGTAGTAGGAAAACGAAAAACGAAAAAAAAAACAAAACAATTATACGCAAGATGACTGATCATCTCGCAGCTGAAGCTTGAGCCTGTGTCCTTTTTAAAGAACAAAAACCTCAATAATCTGCCACTAGGCGCTGTTACACTCGGATTCAGCAGCTTTTTCTTATCGCTACTGTCGGATTGTTTAACCTACATGAGTCCTACACGTACTGACCACAGCATTGGGCCACTGGATCCAAAATAGACATACAGTCGAACCTGTATTAAGCGGCCCTGTATTAAGCAGTCACCCTCTATTAAATGGTCAGTTGTCAAAGTCCCGAAAAGTACTTCCCCTAATTACTGTAATTTTGACCTCTATTAAGCGGTCGCGGTCACCCTTTACTAATTGTAACAGAAATGTTTTCTATTTGGCGGAGCGAAGCGAAATAGAATAGAATAAATAACAATATTTTTTTACCTTTTTTTCTTTTATCAGGTGGTCTGCCTAGTATAGGGACTTTGTCTCTTTTGCTGACCATCCTTATTGCCATTTTATTCTTTTATTGCTTGTACTTTCCCTGTTGTCTTCGCCATTAAATTATAATGAATAAACAACAGACTCATCGAAACCGACCAGTGACTGCTGGCAAACTTTACACGAGTCTTCAGCCAAAAAACTGAGCAATCACTTTCCACGGACCAAACTTATAACACCATCGACTGACAAACAGTATTCACTTGACTCTGAAGATGACTTCCGCTCAGGTTGTGGATACGTCATCAGTCACCAACAACAGTTCTTTTCAGAACTCCCCTCACCCGGACGATCGACGATCACTTAATACGAACTAAAGAAGGTTTTGAAAGCTACACCTGTAAAAAAAATCAAATTCTATTTTTGTTTTTTCGCTCTGTACATCGTAACCAAAGAGACTTGTTGGATTAACCTTATCATAACTGTTTAGAGTCCAGTGAATGCTGCTTCCTCCAGGGGCTTTTCAGACACACACAAAAATAATAATTCAAACACGCCTTGCGTGCCTATGTTTCAGGTACTCAGCCTCGTCCCTGGGGAGAAGAGCCGCCATTTTGAAAATCATCGAGGAGAATGCCCTGGGGACGAGTTAGACACTTTCTAGCACGTGGAAATGAAGAGAAATTTGAATTTCGTTCCGTAGTTTCTGCTGGAAATAAATCGGTTAAACCAAAGATCTTAGCTTCAAAATATCATCTATGTTGCCCAGAATATCTATGTTCATGTACTGTAAGCATTAACCCGCTGATTAACCAGAGTTTTACCACAAGTGGAACTTGACGAACTTTGTGGCTATTATCTGTCGTTGAATGAAGAGTGTATCGCTGGAAGCCTTCTCTGAAGAGGTAATTAACCAACCTGTGATGATTTATTACTTTTATTCGGTTACGTTAATTGCTTTTACATATGGATTGTTTCGTCTGACTAATACTCGGAGCTGTTAACTTTTAAGTTAAACCCGGGGAAAGAAGCTTAATTAAGCTGGCTCGATCCCTAGGGTATTTGCGAACACCCTCCCTATAGAACGCGTGTTAGAAAAGGAAACTTAGTTAATTTCTCTTAAAGTTTTCCCTGTAGAGATTTATCAGTATGGGTACTGTTGAAATATAAAGGCTTATTTTTTGGTTGTCAATTTTTGGATTAAGGCCGTTACCATGGCAACATCTCATCTAATGACAGGCAGATATATTCCTCATTTTAATAATAATAATAATAATAATAATAATAATAATAATAATAATAATAAAAGGTTCTTATTGCGCATTTAGAATTTTGGCCTAAACTCCTTAATATTTATACTTTCCATTGGTGAAATTTTTTCATACTTTGCCACATCATGGAAATGATATTGCCTGACATTTTGAATTGGTAAAAAGTCAAGGTTGTTGAGACGGTTCTTCCAATATTTTGTAATTTGTCATTCTTCTAAATATATTAGATTAGCTCCGATAGATTTTAACAAAAATAGGGTATTTTATAGGAATTGTATGTGGTTACAACTGAGTCAAATTTAAAAAAAAATTCACCTTAGGAAAGGCAAGAAAACTCACTCTCGGTTTTGCTTTTTGTGCTCACATTGATGTCATAAAAATCGAAAAACACTTACGTTTTCCTTTGAGTGCACGCAGATTACTTGAGCTTTCGTCATATTCGCACATGCAATCATAAAACTATAGGGAGCCACCTTAAGGTTATTAATAATATGATGCATCAAAGTTGCTTTGGCTAAATCCCCCAAATCATGTGTGTATCATTAAGTTCTCTTCACTGATTTTCCCTCTCTGTAAACTGAGAAGATTTATTTTCTGTTGGCCTCTGTGAATGTGGCTACCGGAAACATCCTCAGGTCTAAAACAGGGGTAAGGGTGAGAAGTAGGGGGTGTGGGGCTAGAGGTGTTGTCATTTCTATTATTGAGAGTTGACTGTAAATGGCAACAGGTCTAGAAGGGGGGAGGGGAGGGGGATGAGATGTGAGGGTTGTCATCACCACCATTGACAACTTATCATGCCTAGGCAGACTTACCTGTGAGCAATTTATTATACTAACTGGAAGGTTCTTCAGGCTCACCATGTCACTAATCCCTCACCCATGTTTGAGACCTGTGGCAACATTGCATCTGTCTCAAGGACCTTTAAGAGTAAATTAATTAGTTTGGGACCAGAATTTTGGAGACCAGCTGAATCTTACTGTTTTCAGAAGCAATATGAATCTCTGATAAGCTTCTGTAGTGCACAGCTAGAGGAGGCAAGTAAAAGAAGAAAGCAGTCTTTATCATTTCCCAATTCTCCCCAATATTGACTGGTAAATGTATGAATGTGTGTGGAATAAGGACTTACCCTATGAGTGATACCTGTGAGAGCACTGAGTGTTTTTCTTGATCATTTGTTATGTGAATGAGAAAATTACAAGTACACATGCATTCAGTATGTTTCACTGCAGTGTAAATTATCCATTTTATATGTTAAATTTGCCTGCTCTCAGCAAATCACTTGGAAGCAACTTCCTTAGTTCAAAAAATAGAACAAGAGAAATTAATATTACAAAGGTTATACATGTAGTAAAGGAAAAACATATATCGCTGTATATTGTAATCAAATACTGATATAAACCATAGGTAATAGAGGGGAATGGTTTTGAAACCCAACAAAGTTCTTTGTTGTATGCTTTTGTTCACTTTTTTGGCCTCGACCATGCACAAAACACAATAGTTGTTTACTCCGTATTGAGGAACTAACCAATAGAAACGTGTTGGTTACGTAATATTGATGCATAGTGTATGAGCACAAAACAAAAAATTGTGCAAGGTGGTGGACCTTCCAACATAAATCTTGGCATCTTTGTTTGCTCCTTTGATGTTTGCTGGGCTTCATAACCAGTCCCTTCTATTAACTATATATAAACTATGTATCAACCTTATGTCACCATCCCATTGATGTATTTTTTTTGTACTTCAGCTAAGCTAAGCGGCTCATTTTACAATGTCAAGTTCTCACGATAAGCATGGACAGACAAACAGACAGACTGACAGGAGGTTAACTGTACTTGTTACTCAGAAGGTTAGTATTAGCTTGTTAACCTGTACTGTTCTCATGAATGTAAATTTGCAAGCTAGTAGATGGCCATGTTACGGTAGCAGTGTGGTGACCAGTCTAATGGATCAAGCAGTTTGGATTTGAACCCAGGCTGTGGTCATTGCATTGTTTTCTTAATAGGAATCACCAACACTTTTCTCTCACAATGCCCCTCTCCTTCCAGAAATTTAACTGAGTACCAATGAACTGTTATCAATGGCAACTTGACTCCTATCTAACTGATCGTCAGCAAAAGTGTCTAGTTAATGGTGAGCTGTCTGTTGCATGTGCTGTCACCTGTGGTGTCCCACAGGGAAGCCTTATTGGTCCCTCGTTTTCCTGATTTATATTAATGACTTGCCAAGCTGCCTGAGTAAAGCTTTGCCACAAATGTATACCAACAATACAAGCATTGGCATCATAGCCAGTAGCTTACCAGAGCTTGAATCAGCACTAAACACTGAAGTAGCTAACCTTCATGAATGGCTTAATGTAAATAAACTTAGCCTGAATATTGTAAAAACTGAACTAATGTTAATATATGTCAGTGACTTGCTAGTACCATTGGCGATTCACTTAATATACAAACTGAAGGTCACAAAATTGATAGAGTGCTCCACACCAACTCCTCAGGAGTCTGTATCGATCAAAATTTGATGTGGTCTTAACAAGGGCCAAGGTTACCTCCTCTGGTATGGGTGTACTTAAAAGGTTCAAGCTGTTTTGTTTAGACACAGCTATATTGCTCTATAGAGCTATTATCAAACCATATTTTGATTATTGCTGTCCTGTGTGGGACAGTCTCAACAACAAGTTGGCCGACAAATGACAAAAACTGCAAAATCATGCTATTAGGGTTATCACTGAGTCTGATTACCATTCTAGCACTACCACCCTAAAGCCAGTATGGGATAATCTGTATATCAGAAGGAACAAGAAGATCTGTTAGATCTTATAACCGCACTTTTAAAATTTAACTGTTTTGTTAATACTTTAGTCACAACGCAGTGCACATTCCAAAGCAGTCCTTGATGACTCATTGATTACTGTAAACACATCACTTGATCAACACAAACTGTGTTATAACTTATTGCACCATCACTCTTAGCCTTTGTGAAATCTATGATGAAGTTCACTTGGGATATGCCCATGAATGATCCAAAATGAAACAAGTGTCACGCTATTAATAATGCTTTTAATAAGCAGCTTTTTTCCTGAAAAGTCAAAATTTAATTTGTTTGTGCTTTGAAGTAGTCAGTGCCGCAAGTCACACAGTCAGAGGGTTCACGCTATCCACGGCTAATTGAAGAATGGTTGTGTTTTTTCCCCTGGCACTGACCTAAACGATGCAAGTTCTGGCAAGCCCTTGTTTACCTCGGTAAATATTTAATTTTTCTTCAAATCTCTTAAGGTCATTCCCCAGTATTGCATTACGCATCCCTACTGTGCATAATTTCACGCGTGATTAGCACGCGCACATTAAAAAAATGGCGGCTTTTTCTTTATGGCTGGACTTCACCATAGAGGTAAATCATCATTTTCTCGCAAACAAGTATGGTGACCTATCATTTTTTTTCTGTTGTTTTGAATTGAGTAATAAATTTCTCTGTGTATAATAAATATGGACCAATTCTCAGTGTCGAACAAAAGGCAATCGTAGGTGCTATTTATAAGGATTTATTGGGTATAAACAAGGTGCTGTTGCTCCTATACGAACATGGGGATCCTTCATTTTTATTTCAAAATTTAAGTTCCTACAATATTAACAATCAATAGGCAAAGTTTCACAAAAATCTCAATGCAGGTTCTATTTCAGTGGAATGACCTTAACTCACTGCGATGAAACAGCCAAAGAATTTGCTTCATTTGCCGAAACGCACAAGAAATACTCACAAAATTCCAAATAATGACCGTCGCTTCTGGCGAAATAAATAATCATAATAATAACACTTATAATGCACAAATTTCTTAAAATGTTCAAATGCGCATGACAAGATTAAAAACGAAATAAAAAATGCTAAAAAGCTAAAATTACAATTAAAAGTAAACTTACAATGATTTTAAAAAGCAAAAATTACAATTAAAAGTAAACTTACAATGATTCTAAAAAGCAAAAATTACAATTTTAAGCTTGGCTTTAAAAATACTAACAGTGCTGGCACTTCTTATGTCAAATAGTAGCGCATTCCAAAGTTTCGGTGCAGCACAGGTAAAAGAACGGTCACCTAGTGTAGCTTTTGATTTAAAAAGAGGATAACTAAGTAAAAGTTTATCGCTAGAATTCCTTAGATTATATTTGGATGGGAGCCTAAGAGAAATAAGAGACGATAATTAAGTAGGCGATAAATAAGTAAGCTAAAAAGCAATTGAAATTAATGTTTAAAACTACAGGCGAACCTCTCCATATGGAACCTCTAATACGGACACCTCTCTAATATGGAGAGTTTAATGTACCAACAAAATCCTCATACATTTCCTCTAAAAAAACCTCTATAATACAGACCCTCTCTAAAATGGACCACGGACACTAAATCTCGTAGTAGGCGCTAATAAACTTGCAAAGTAAACACAATCTTATTTGTCACGTAGCAAAAATGAAAGCTGCAATGTCAGTGCATTCCGTGGCTGACCTAATACCTTTTTTTAGTGTTTTTAGCATATTTATTATTTCCCTTTAAATCCAATGCTTCGATAAAACCAAAAGAAAATATATTTTAAACATGACTAAAGAAAACAATATCTGTAACATTGTCCTTGTATTAATGTTTCAACAGCTTTTGGTGAATAAACATCACAGGTTGCATGATTCAAGTTTGGGTCTGGTCAGTGACAAAAAAAAAAAAGCCATGGGTACAACATGAATTGTGCTCAGCCCATGGCTGCATGTTTAAAAAGCAAAAATTGAAATTAATGTTTAAAACTACAGGCGAACCTCTCCATAAAGAAGCTCTAATATGGCAGGGCTCGAAATTAACTTTTTC